AGAGAAGTAGGGAAACCACACCTTTCACTAAAACAACCAAAAAAAAAAAAAATAAGAATCAATGTACAAAGAAAATAAAAGACCTGTACACTGAAAAGTACAGTACTCTGAAAGAAGAGATCAAAGAGGATTTCATAAGATGGAAAGATAGCCCTCATTCATGGATAAAAATGACCAACATGGTAAAAATGGCCATACTCCCAAACTTATTATACAGTCGCAGTTCAATCCTGATTAAAATACCATTAGTATACCTCACAGAGCTAGAGAAAATGTTGTTAAAATTCATGTGGAACCACAAGAGATCTAGATTAGCTAAAGCATTCTTGAGCAAAAAGGAAAGGCAAGTGGAATCACACTCCCTGACTTGAAATTATGCTACAAAGCAACTGTCATAGAAATCAGCATGTTACTAGGGGGAAAAAAACAGTTCTGCAGCTCAGTGGAACAGTTTAGAAGATGCAGATACACAATCAGGCACCTTATCTTTGACAAAGAGACCAAAGGTGTTCGCTGGAAGAAAGAAAACCCACAAATTGGGGAAAACAGCTAGGAAACTGTCCTTAGACAAAGGACTTCTATCTTGAATATAAAATCTAGGGTCCTCAAATTCAAATACCCATTTAAAAACAGGCAACTGTAATAAATACGCACTTCCTAGATAAAATAACACAAATGGCAAATAAACATATGAAACCATGTTCAACATCATATGTCATTTGAGAAATGCAAATTAGTTTACTGAGATTCTATGTCACCCCATAAAGAGTAGCTATCCTCAAGAATCAACAAATAACAAATGTAGGAGGGGCTGTGGGGTAAAAGAAACTCTTCTCTGCTGTTGGTAGGAGTGTAGACTGGTGCAACCACGATGGAAATCTGCAAATATTCCTCAAAATCTAGGATTAGATGTACCATTCAACCCAGGTATTTCCCTCCTGGGTATTTTCCCAGATGAAATGTAAATATCATACCACAGTGATAGATAGATAGATAGATAGATAGATAGATAGATAGATAGATAGATAGATAGATAGATAGATAGATATATAGATAGATATAGATATAGATATAGATATAGATATAAATATATGCATCCATGTTTGTAACAGCACAATTTGTCACAGATAAACAGCCAAAAAGCCCAACAATGGAGGAATGGTTAAAAGAGCTGTGGTATATGTATACACTGGGATATTAATCAGCTATTATGAAAGATAAATTTAAAGCTTTCATAGGTAAATGGACACAACTTAGCACCATACTCACAAAGTAAATAAATCATACCTGCATTATAAACATTGTATTGTCTCTCTAATGTAAGAACCTGAAAGAGTAAATATAAATCCAAAAGGTACAATAGATACTGTGGAGGAGAAAGAAACTGTTCAAAGGAAAGGAACAACTGGGATTAGGTAAGGGAGAAAAAAATAAGAAGGGGAAAATACATATGCATATACACAGGATGTCTTGGATAACTGTACAGTTGATTGCTACTGATCTATTGAAAGGAATAGTTGATGCTTTTTTTTCTTTTTAATTTTTCACCTTTCTGAAAACCAATTTTTCATTTTCATATCTGGTAATCTGAAGCAGTAATTTCAAGGCAACAGGATGTAATATAACAACCATTGCTGAATTCCAATCATCTTGTTGAGCAAAATTCTGTACCATTTCCAGTTTTATTTTACTATTTTTTATTCTTTTTAAAAACTAAAAATGGAAATAATCCACCAAAATCAAGTAGTATTATCAAAAAATCCATATCTGAGGTTCAATGGAACAATTTAGAATGTGCAGACAGAACTAAAAAACAATCAGCCAAACATATTCACTGTAACATAGCCTCTTCAATAAATGGTGTGTGCACCAGGGAGATGGTGCTGTAGAATAAGTGCTTGTCTGGCAAGCACAAGGACCTGAGTTCAATCCCCAATTCTGCAAATTAAGTAAGTAAGTAAGTAAGTAAGTAAGTAAGTAAGTAAGTAAGTAAGTAAGTAAATAAATAAATAAATGGTGTGGGAGAAAACTGCCTTTCCATATGCTAAAGGCTAAAATCAGATGCATTTCTACCACAATGAACTAAAATATGTCAAAATCAATCAATGATCTAAATAATAAAGCAGGAACATCAAATCTATTGCAGGGGAAAGTAGGGAGAAGTCTTGAAGACATAGGGTTAGGTAGAAAGTTCATCACCAAAAACCAAACTGCATGAGAAAGACTTAAAAGAATCAACAACTGGATTTCATCTATAAAAGTTTTTGCAAGTCAAAATAAACCACCAAAAAAACTCACAAATTTGAAAAAATTAGTGAAATTCTTTGTTGTTTCTAATGTTTTTAAACTAATTTTTATTGTCTTTAAAAAATGAAAAAGAATAATCCAGCACAATCATATAGGATTTACCCATATTGTGAAAAAATTATGAAGCATCATGGTACAAATGAAAAACAAAAACATATTCCTCTCATTAGATGCAGAAAAAGAAATAGAAAAAAACCAACACTTAATGATTAAAAAATTTTACCAAATTAAAGGTAATATAATGTGTCAATTCATAAGAGCCCAAAACTGAGAAGCTCTCTGGTCATAGTATTCTCAAATGTGAAAAAATTAAGTCTTTCCTGTAAAACCTGAAACAAGACTAGGATACTTTGTTTTTCCATTGCTGTTATGGTTTGTGACTTGTTGTCCTCCCAAAGGC